AACAGGGGTCACGCAATATTTTTATCTAGACAACCTCTAATAATTTTGAACCCAAAATTATACTCTGTATGCCCTTGGAGATATCAGGATCACTGGAAACCTTTAAAACATCTTCCAATCAATATTTGGTCAGCAATGAATACGTTTATATGGTTAATCCCTGTTGTGATGTCACCAAAACTACCGTTAATGAGATAAAAAATTTATCCAAGATGGCTGACATCCCATTATTTCAAGTGAAAATATTTCACGAACTAAGCAAGATATCAAGAATCGGAAAAAGAAGTTATTAAATAGTTTCAAAAGTTCTTTCAAATGAAGAAATAAAAAAATATATTGCCATTTCCCTTTAATTAATAGCCTTAATTCAGAGAATACGCAACAGCGCAAACCCACTCTCCTCCGCAGAGGCATTTTTGGCTGGCCTAAAGTTATACATATACAGTTATAACACCAGATTACTGCCTACTTGGCTACTGGTATACGGTAATTTCACTGGCCTCAGCCCTCTGGGTGGCAGAACGTAACCATTACAGATATACTTATACTACTGTAACCACAATGCAAATATTATTGAAACATTAACAATAAACGGCAGTAACTAAACTTAACTATGTTATATTTGCATGTTACTTGTTAGTAATAAATTAAATATATATTAAATAAAATAGTAAAATAGTATTATATACTAATTTTCAAGTGTACTATTTAACATACTCATATCTTTGCAGTTATAGCATAATAGATTTTCCAAATCCTTCCTCGCCGACTGGTTCACCACAGAATGTGTGACATGGGTTTTTAAGAAATACAGCTATGTCCACCATCATATTGTTGCTTACACACAACACACAGTGATACTGGAATAAATAAATAATAAAATATAGAATTGAAAAACTTCATCATCAGTACATTTATTCATTTTCATAATCCTAGTTAGCCTGTGAATATAGCTGGTAATCGCTAGATTCCAGGCAGTTCAGTTGTTTTGTTTGTGCATTATTTGAATTTGCTTTTAATGTTTACATGTACAAAACGCCATAATTCATAAAGTCAAAATTAACAACTGCCGAACTGCGAAAAGAGTAACTAAGTTCTTTAATTTTGATCTTACAGTTACAGGACAGGCCATCAAATTTCTCAAGAGTTTTACCTTTTTCCTGTTCGTTTGGTACAGTTTCCATAGTTTTTTCCTTTAACGCATAGGCCTTAGCCGATTTTTAGTGTCTGTTAGTGACACATGTGACATTTCCTAAAAAGAGGCAGAATAAACACAAATTACTAATAATATATGCTTTTTTTGCTTTTTGTAACATCAAAAATACACGATGTTTATCTTTTGAGTAGAGTAGGCTGAGTAGCCAGGTTCAAGTTATAGTTTACCTTATTCTTGAAGCTTGAAAAATCTTTTGACTCTTTTATGCCTTGTTTTTTAAACGTTTTATGCGTATTCCAAACGTTTTATGCCGTATTCCATTAGTTAACATTCACCGAAGCACGTAAACGAACGTATATTCAGTTATGTTAATTTGCAAACGTAAGAAATTGAATTCTGATTGGCTCCACATGTAATATGTGTAAATGAGACCATAGATATGCATATTGTTTGTAAAATGTGCGAATTCTAAAGACTTTTTCATGTTGTCAGTTAATCACAATTTCGATTTGAAGCTATGTCGACATGTGTAGATCACTATAGAGTCTAGAGATTGCCTAACGTACTATCGCATCGTGCGAAAATATGTTTGCATATAGTTTTCATTCTCGTGAAGACATATGTCCAACATTTGCGCAGAAAATGTTTGAATCTTAAAACTGCTCCAGACACTATAAGAGTCACAAGAGAATAGCTACATCAATAATTAGTCGTTCAGCCTTCAAAGTCAAATCCAAAAAACAGACTGGCCATAAATTTCTAGCGATCCATTTTCTTCTATCGATTTTAAATTAAAATTGTTTTACTCTGGCTTGCCGTGTTTATATGCATGCTTCAATGCTAAAATATCGTTGATACGTACATGTCCTCGCTATAAATCTCGTAATGTCATGATTGATTCATGAACGAATTTAAACTCTTCACAAATATGTTTGCCTTTGGCTTTGGGAATTGAAATATTTACAAAACATACTGTATTGAGTAGCGCCATGACAATGTCTATAGTATAGATATCTGTTGCAATTTTGCCCTTTGGGAATTGTGTTTACTTTCATGCAAATTCTTTTACATGCAGTACAGAATATGACATGGCACGAGACTGTCGAGTCATCAAATTCCATTGAAAAGGAACTAAACTTTTGTGTACAAACAGCGGCCAGGTCGACTTCCAAAGTTATATCAGTTAACATTCTGCGGATATTCTGAGTTTTAGTTTACTAGGTAAAGAATGGCATGCATCAAGCATGCCAGTTTTTCATGGAATGAGCGAGACGTCTCAAGTTATAACATCTCATGCATGCAAGTTTCGCGTTTACGTTCCGTTCGTAAGCAATTGTATGTAAATCACCAACACACTGCCAACTTTCGTGTGAATAAATTATGCCAAACGTTTATCCAATAAGAGCTTGCTATTATATGGTTGAGAACGGATTGAGTGCTATCATCCAATAAGGAACTGTAGTTTTGACGATTGTTTCGTTCAGTAATGAGGCTTTACGTTTGTTTACGTGCTTCGGTGCATGTTAACTATTAGGACGATTCCTAGGCTATTGTGCTTTACACAAGAAGTTTCGTGAAGTACACACATTGAATGTTCCAAGAAACGTTGTGTGTGACGTGATGACCGATGTCAACCCTCAAGGTTTACAAGACAGAGGTGGTGTGGGACAACCAAAACGCCAATGAAGAAAAGGCGCGTTCATATAGACTGTAAGCATATTAAAAAATGTTTAATATTTTGTTACACTAGAACATTATATTAATATATGTGACGATTTTCTCATTCAGGGAGCTGATTTTACAATGTCACTTGATGGGCAAGATAAAATGTGTGGTTTTCAAAAGTCTACGTTCCCATTGTGCATTTATGATGCCCAGGATACTTTCAGCAGCAGAGTAAACTTCCTGAGAGTATGGACTTCCAATGATAATCCAAGCATTGTTGGTAGATTCTACTTCGACTATTTATTCGAAAGAAGAGGTATTATAATATTTGCCTTTATCTAAATGGTTCTTCAAATTTAGATTATTAATTAATACCCTTTATTAATCATTGAGCATCACTCACCCTCAAGAATGTTCCAGACTCATTTCAATGGACCTTGAGTATGAAATTTGAAATAATCACCCTTTCTTGATAGACATTGTTTTAGCACCCTTCTTGAGCACAATCATATATTATAGTCATGTTAACATTATTGTACAAAAATATGTGTAACTTTTTCTGTATTTTATAGTGTTACCCTCAAGAATATGTGTGGATAGAGGAACAGAAACTGGTGTGATGTGTACTATCCACAGTTATTTACGAGCACAACATGGTGATGTGGAGAATGGAGATGACTGTGTTCTATATGGACCTTCCACCGAAAACAAAATTGAGAGATGGTGGAGAGAGCTGTCACACAGAATGGAAGGCTACTTCAAGGATCAATTAAAAATTTTTCTTTGGAGATGGGTATTATGACCCAAGCAATGAAACTGACAGGTATACTTTTCGGACAAGAATGCATTTGGTTTACTGGTTAATGCAGCTATATTCATCAAATATTGCAATTTTTAAACCACAATGATATGAGAGACCAGAGTAAATTATCATATATGAGTGCATGTGCATGAATGATCATCATGTAGTTTTACTTTATTAAAATACAACCTGAAGAGCAAGCTTGTCTCATCGATTTGGCCGTACTCAAGGTCATACACACATGTATGTGCACTACAGCACCACCCCTTCATGTCATTACAAATTCAACTAAGTCCAAGATGATTCCATTGTGTGTGTGTGTTTCTGGACTAATTTGAACTCTGTATTCACAGGCGTACCGGGCGGGGGCGGTAGCCCCCCAAGTTTTTTGGGCAGTCGGGCAATATTCGATCAACAGTCGGGCAATTTTGGTTTGCAATAAAAAAAAATGGGACAAATTCTGTCAATTTTGTCTAAAATGAAGTAACTTTTTTGGCAAATTTAGTGATTTTTCGAAAATTTGTGTTATGTTCCGGAAAATATTGGTTGTCCGGAAAATTTTTTTGACCCCTAAAATGGTACACTGACCAAAATTTTTTTGGCGACGGGGGGGGGAGGGGGTGGTCACCAAAATAATTTTTCCGGAAAAAATTTTCTGGTACTAGTCGGGCAGAATCCCGAAAAGTCGGGCAATTTTCTTTCCGCCCCCCTAATTTTTTCCTTCCGGTACGCCCATGTCTGTATTGATCGAAATGTGATTGTAGGACACACAATCGTTGAATTAGCATTCACTTAACAAAAGCAAATTACTTATCACTGAAACCCTGTCAATTTTAATTTGCAGAAACATGCTAGCATATATCTATATTCCTGTGGTACAAAAGGAACTTGATGTGTTCAGGGTATCTGTGTGGAATAATCATAGAGTGAGAAAACAAAAAGACAATGAGCTTCCTACTGGTGTGCCAGAACATATATACACATGCCCAGAGCAACATGGTGGGGAAAAGTGTGGTATTCCCGTAACCGATGATCAATTACAAGAGGTGGCTGAGTTTTCTCATGTACTGGATGCTAATGATGACTTTTTAGATGATGATTTTCGCCAGGAATGCCAAAGACACATCCCAAATACAGAGACATTGAGCCAGCCCAGGCTTCAAATGCATATTTATATTTACAAGATCACATTTGGATATAAACAAGTTTGATCTATTAATTAATGTCAGAATAAAATATGAAACTTTGTTTTTTTGAAAATGGCCACTATAAAAATTTTCCTGGGCAATGACTACTAAGACCAGCATTCCTTGTGGGCATCGAGCATTGTGACATCATTATACATAAGATCTATCAAAATTGGTACATTTTCAAGATTCACTGTTGCTTTGACAGTTTCAGCATCTCACAGTATCTGTTGCATTCATGACATGTCAAAAAGGATTTAATTGCTGTATCTGACAAATTACCAGTGCAGAAACGAATTGCCTGATCATCAGGGTCTGCCAGCTCAGCCGTTGCAAGTTCTGGGTCACATAAGGAATAATTAACACCTTGAATGTCAGTGACCATAAGTTGTTGGTTAGATTTCTGGAATGTATAATGAACAAATGTCTCAGTTTTAAGGCTTAGTTCACTAGCATCTTCAGGTCTCACACACACCTCTCCAGTGTTGTTGATAAACTTCTCAAAACCACTGTCTAGGTGATTCTCTAAGGTTACAGGCTCACCATTTAGAGACGAATCGTAGACCTTACCATAAATAAATGTTTCTCCAAATTCTGAAGCTTGGACCTCCGAAGCCATACTTTGAGCAAAATTACGAGCTAAGGCATTTAATTGAACCGACTTTCGTGTTTGGAGTTCTATGGATTGAAACAGTGCCTCGATTCCTTTTTTCTCTCCCTCCAAATATTTCGTAAGGACATACTTTCCTTCAGGCACACCTGCAATGGATTTTGCCAAAAACGCTTCACGGAATGCCCCATTGGCAAATGGTTTTCTTTCCAATGAAAGTGACACCTCAAAAGGTTCCAACCACTCCATTCTTGAGATGCAAAACTCTTCAAGACGAAGAGTTACCACATCAATATCTGGGACGATGACTTTGCCCAATTTCAGCATCTGACTTAGTGATACTGAACGCACAACAGATGGTGATGGTCTGACACTGACAGATGTTGTTTGCCTCGAATGCGGATGTTTGAAAGAGCTTTTTGGGGGGCTTCCGGTTGCTGGCTCGCTTTGGGGTCTTGGCTGTTTGCTTGCTGTTTGTGTTAGAGACTTTTCGTTCATGGGGTGTTAGAGAATTTCCATGAAGTGCACGTGCAAAACTTTCCAGTTCTGGATTTGTCTCCAGGAAGCACATCACATTCCAATTCCATGTTGAAGTGTACATTACATGCAGCTTTGATGTTTTCCAGTGTCAGTTCTTTCTCACAGCATAGTTCATATAATGAGAGGGTTTGGATGAGATGCATCACGTGACAGTCAAGGTGCATAACATGGCGATTTCGTACTATAATCTATATCAATTCTATATTAATTGGGGTTTTTTCGATGGTTTTACAACGTTTTGATAAATGTAAAGATTTATCGTGCTTTGCCTATGCGAAAGGCAACGTTTGAGACCTTTTTATATTCCATTGGCCATTCTGCTTCCGCTGTATATAATATCGACGGGGTGCCAGGTGTCATGTTAGTTCAACTTCAGATGGCAAATACTCTTCGAAGAAATCCAATAAAACACACAATTTACCAATTGCTAACATGGATATAGATGAAGAAAATGAATCCGAATGTCCTGTAAGCCTTTGTTCCGATTTTGAGCAAACCATGGAACTTCTCTACATGGATATTGAGGAGGTTCAAATGGAAGTTGAACACTCGCTTGAAGAGGTATTACAATTGTTATAGAAATACCGGTAGTTAAAGGTTTTTTGAATACTTCATACATGTTACTTTCTCTAAAACCTTAATATTTATAAACTTTCCCTCCAGGTTGAAGGAAAGAAGCAGTTTCCATGCACCTTCTGCAAAAAGGTATGCAAGTCAAAAGGTGGATTGACGAAGCACCAGTGAAGTAAACATGTGGAACAATTGGGTGAGAGTTCATCTTCGTCTGAAATTGACAAAAATGTCATATCAATGGAAAACATATGCTCTATAATACGCGACATCGGTCGACACTTGGTTGATGAAAAACTTTATAAAGAGGAACAAACAGCCGAGATATTTAAGCTCCATCCAAGTGAATCATTTGTCAGCTTTGTCAATAAACTCTTATTGACATTTAAAAGGAAACGAAATCAAGACAGATTTCTTAAAGAGTTTTATGGGAATTCACATGCCAACTGGAAAGAATATTTCCATCCGTATGGAGAACAGAAAATGGTTTTCCTTATGTTGATCCATCTCCCTGAACGCCTGATTGGATTTCTGGAGAAAGAACACGATGACCAAGGAATATCTAAGGTATATACAACAGCTATACTAGGCTCAGATTCCAGCCATTGGGTTCTCGGCAAGTGCTGAGAACCCAACTCCTGGAATATGAGCCTACAGAAATCTGTACTCAGTGTACTGTAGTTCTTATTTTAGACTTTAGAGTACTTCTAGAGTGGAAAATACATAATTTGTGTTTACAGTACAGGGGTGTATGAAAAACCAGACTAGCACAATTCCCATTTACAAAAGGCAAGATCTTGCCTACTGGCATGGATTGATTTACTGGGGGGGTCTCTCTCTAACCCCTCTTATAAAGTGTTCAACCCACCAAAATTTTGCTTCACCCCTCCTGTCAAAGCTCGCTCAGTGGTGCCGCTTGCACTCCAACCGAGAATGTTTCTACCCCTTCTTTAAAATGAAAATCCGCCCCTTGGGACTTGCTAAACTCCAGGCCCCTACCTTATAACTCAATTTTGCACATTGGGCTGTTACAATATATTGAAGCAATCATTGGACGACATTAATAATTACAGGTCATGTCAAATCAACACCATTTTCATTCATTTAATTCTCAATAAAATTTTAGGAAGAGTTGTCCCTATCACCTCACGAATTTGGACCACTATCTTACCTGGCTGGTTATGTGATACGGTCATTATACCAGAAAAGGGAAAATTGTTCCAGAAGCAATTCCCCCCTCAACAAAGAAATTCAGGCTTTGATGTCGTCAATGCAACAGGAAACAGAAGCGAATGAATATATTTCATCATTATCAAGAGGTGGACTTTGGGCACCCCATGAATGGATTGTTAGTATTGCGGAGGTATCTGAGTTGGTATTCAGAAAGCACACAAGTAAAGACAAGGTCACTTGTCTTCCAGTAGACATAATTGTGAATGAAGTCCTAACTTCTCCCCTTGTTAAAAACTTGTGGTGCAATATTATTCAAAACTGTTATGTACAAATTTCAAAGGACTGTCAATCATTTTGTTTAGAAAATATTGTAAAACTATATGTTACTGTCAGATCTTTTTCATTTGCTAAAGATATTGTCAATAAGTATAAGCTAAGTCAGCATACTCAAAAACTAAAGCTCTATGAAAAAACCTGAAAAAAGCCAGTGAAGAATGTGTGAATTAATTTTATCATAAGTAATCTAACACTGTTGCAGTCAAAAGTTGAGTAAATAGTGACTTGAACTGGCATTATTTACAAACCAAATTAATTAAACTACATTGTCAAGCCTAAAAGGTTTCTCAGGGACCATTGTTGTACATTGCAAGTACACAAATGTTTATTTCAATATAGCTTACAGTAATGCTAATCAACAAAATTGAAAAGCAGTGTTTATTTCAGAATGACTCTGAAAAAATAGTGTTAGATTACTCATGAAAGTTTGTTTAGAGTTAATGCTATATATAATACATTGTTATCTATCTAATGTATATTAATGTAATTTGTAAATGAGTGTATAGTTTTCTTCCTTGCATTCAGCAAATATGACAGACAGTCTTCAAATTTATTAGCATAATGTGTGGCAATTACAGTAGGTTAGGCTCATAGATTAGGAGATCTAGATTGCTAACGCATACCTAGCACAGGCGGGGCCTACATGATAAATCCAAGATGGCGGTACAACAGGGCAAAAAGACTATAGATTCTATTACGAAAATCAGGATTTTTGCATTTTTTGCCATCGCATTGTTTTGAAACTTATTCGGTCAAATTTTATGGTAAAGAGAAACTTACCGCGAAGATTTTGAGCATATATATGATTGAATTGGATGAAAAATCGCAAAATTATCCATCGATAAAAGTTCATGTATAGTACTGATATAGTACTATATATGTAACTTGTACAGTTTTGCTTTAATTTTTGCTCACTATTTGCATAAAAAGCAAATTATAACAGACCATAGATGATAGACCCTCATCCAGTGCTCTCATCAGTTTACTTCTCTAACAAGCAAGGAGGGGGGGGGTACATAACAGTTCATTTTTCATAATTATGAGGACAGAGCAGATGATGATGAGAGATGCAAGTATAAAACACCATTCACAAGGCTAGATGTTAACATAGCACAGTATTTCTGGCAATAAAACGCTCCAACTGACCAACTGACCATTTCACACAAACTTTTATCGCTGGATAATTTTGCGATTTTTCATCCAATTCAATCATATATATGCTCAAAATCTTCGCGGTAAGTTTCTCTTTACCATAAAATTTGACCGAATAAGTTTCGAAACAATGCGACGGCAAAAAATGCAAAAATCCTGATTTTCGTAATAGAATCTATAGTCTTTTTACCCTGTTGTACCGCCATCTTGGATTTATCATGTAGGCCCCGCCTGCGCTAGGTATGCGTTAGCAATCTAGATCTCCTATATCTATGGTTAGGCTATACCATAACTGTTTATTCAAATATATAAGAATGGTGTCTAGCAATGCTAATATATTGGGTGACTGTCTGTCAGGGAAATAAGCCCCTAACTTCCATCAGTTGCAACTGTCTATCTGAAATATTAAAATGTTCATTAATTTAGAGCAAATCAGTTTATGGTTTCTTCTTTGTTTTCTTTTTGGGCAGGGGCTCATCGCTCACATTGCACCTCGATTGATTGGGGTGCAACATCTCGCAGGGTGGCAATTCCTAGGTCGTTGTAACCAAATTCAGCGGCTGATGGGTTGTCACTTCTTTGCCCTTGTGCACGTTGGTAGCCAAAGTACTCCTCAACATCATCTTGACAAAACCGTTCAGTCAAAACAAACTCAAACCCCTCACTCAATAAAAACTTGGTGATTGCGATAGCTGATTTGACTGTCATCGTTAAGCCCTTAAAGGTTTGGATACTCAGGAACATGCGTCCTCTGTCATCATCAGTAAATGCACCTTCTCTTGATTCTGTTGATGATTTCCAATTGGTTAAGTATTCCAAAAATACATTTTGCAGCCAATCAAATCTTTCATCATCTGCACTTCTGTATGGGGCTAATAAAGCATTGCGCTTTCTCTGGTACTCAGTGGTGGAGCGGACATTCATACAATCAAAAAAATTGTTCATCATCTTGCACAGATTAGCGGTTCCCTGTGCTTCTCCTGATGAGTAATGACGCTGTAGAGCTTGTGCAACTGTATTGCTTAACACTTGCACTGCCATGCTGACTTTCATCTTCGAATACGACTTCAGAGCGATGTGATCTACTGTCAACTTAGGTAGGTGATGTAGCCCTGAGTCGAGATCTGAGTAATAAAGCTTGGCAATGTGTTCCCAGAGTAGGTACTTCCCATTGTTCCACATGCTATGTGTGCGCTTACCACTACCGGAATTGAAGAGGCAGTTTCTAGTTGTCTTCAGCAAATGTGGAGCATCGGAGAAGAAGTAGATGTTCCTGCTTGGAGCAAAAAGGTTGGGTGTGTAGTGTACCACTTCGACATCTGGTTCTATCAAATCAGCATGCAGTTGGTAAAAGAGTCGATTAGGCGAGGCTCCATCAGATACAGCGGCACAAACCGAGAGGTTGCACAAAAGCTTGAGTATGGACACTGCTTTCCAAAACAAAGGCATGATCTGGTAAGAAGTAACATCTTTGGTAAGAAAGTATGCAAGGGCATACTTAAGATCACTGGCAGCACCACGTACAAAAAATACCAACGCATGGGTTGCAAGGTCAGACGATCCACTGCTATTACACTAACACAAAAGACCGTCCATGTATAAGCCCTCCTGTATAAGCACTTCCTTGTATATGCCCATCAAAAATCGCTTATGAAAAAGAATATAAGCCCATGGCTTATAGTCAGAGGTTTACGGTAATACCACAAAGAACATGTAAAGTATGAATGAGGGGAAAATATATTTAATCATTAATAATTCATGAGCAAATAGACCAATCAAACACAAACATTTTGTCACATGCATGAATTTGGTAAAGATCTAAATTTGGTAAAGATCTAAACCCTGGTACAGATCTAAATTTTGAATCAGTAATTAAGAAATTACATTAATAAATGCTTGAGACAATAACAAGTGAGCCATTACAACATCCCTTAACCCTTTAAGTGGCAATGCACCCTGATGCACCCTAATTTAGTATGCCACGCTGTTTAATTAATGGCAGACAATTTTACTTGTCAAGTGGACAGTGCTGCCACTCAATGGGTTAATTCTTTACTCGATCTCACAAACCACATAGACTAGTAAAACAATAGACTATTGTCGATTAAGAAGTTATTTCATACACTTGTGGCTCGTGTTCCACCAGGGTTTCCAAACACTTGAGAACAATGAATTCACTTGACTGTTCACCAACCGATATTCATTGCTCTATTAATATTCTATTGAATTTGCAAAATACTCAAACAATAAAAACCACTCAGCTGTTTGGAAACCCTGGTTTCCAAACAGCTGAGTGATTTCTATTGTTTGAGTATTTTGCAAATACTCTAGAATATTAAAAAGTACATATTCTAACTTCTAATAATACAATACTTCATTTACCTCCTTCCAAATTTTGGCATTGCCAGTAGTTTCCTTTGTTGCTCCCAGAAAACTTTCATGTGTGGGGTAACTTCATCACTTCTATCTGCAAGAATGGCCAAGATATCCTTTTCCATCGTTTCATCAATGGGGATGCTGTTACTCTCAATTTCCTTCTCTAGTTCAGCTATTCGACCCTCAAGCTCCTTACATACCAGCCTTTGCTTTTGGACAGTGGCAATTAACCTCTCCTTACTTGAACCAGTCAGGGGTGCATTACCCTTGAGAGGCTCAGTCGTTTTCTTTGATGTACTCGATTTCATTTTGCAGAGGGATTTTTCCTTCTGGATACATTTAGAACAGGAAATGTCATTGCAAAGCAATTCACAATGTTCAGACCTGATAAACACACGAGTCTGAAATGGTGGACGATCCTCTTCATACAATTTCCGCTCAATTGGGATTGTATGTCGCATCACACTGCTGGAACCACAGGTGGGACTGGGATCTTCACACAGGGAGACAATGTGTTCCTCTTTATTTAGACCTTCACAAATTCGAGCACTTTCCAAAGTGGTCATCAAGGTGGAGATTGATGTGAACTTTAATGATCTCTTGTGATCACTGTATATATAATGGTCATCTCGTAAAAACCAGTTGTATACAGCAACAGAAAAGTTAAGTCCAGAAACAACTGCCAAGGAAAGCTTCAGTAGGGTATAAGGTGATTGAAAAAACTCAAAAACTACACTGTCCTCGTCTTCTTTCTTGGACCACCCTTTCATCTTTAGTGGCAATATCTTTGTTGAAAGTGTTTCAAGTTTTGATAAACCACTGGGACAGGAACATCAATCTGCTGCCCGGACAAGCTCGCGTCTCTGTGTAACAGGAGGTGGATGAGGTATGCTCTTCACTGGCAAATTCAAAGACGGGATTGCTCCTTGAGCTAGTATCTTACGAGTAGAAACTAAAAATAAAAAGACCTACTTTTAAATGGACACTAGACACTAGTTTAACTCAATGATTGTGAGCATCCTGACACACCTTTGTCAACCACAGAATGGTCAGTCTAGATTATTATACTGTGTCTAAAGACAAGGTTCTCACCCATACATGCAAGGAATAAATACACCACAAAACATTGAATAATGCGGATCCCTCTATATAAATCCCTCTTTCTGAAATCTGCCAGTCCGAAATCCCCAAGAAATTCTACGTTTCCATCAATACAGTGAAGCGTTTTTAAATACTGTAATAGTCTCGACTATGTATACTATGCACAAGAGTTGAGCTAATTTATACAGTAAAACCGTATACAGTAAAAAAATGTATACAGTTTTAATAAATGCGATATGTTACACACCGTAAAAATCACTAATAAATATCTTAAACTAAACTCACTAATCTATAAAGCTGTAGATATATTAATAATCACATAATAGGCCTACGTCTATATATTAATAGGCATTTCTAGCCTTCAAAACATTCTGCTTACTAGTAAATTTCATACAAAAATACATTCACTGCTTTAAAGTTTTCGGCCAAGGTTATATTTGACGGAGTATTCTCACGCAAACTTGTGTTTATTCAAATTTATACAACTATGAATATTCGAAACAGCCAAAAGATATATTATATATTTGCATACAGAGCACTATTGTTTTCGACTCTAAAGGTCCTGACCTTAAACACCGCACTGATATGGAAATGTAGATAAATAATCATTAATGTATACTTACAACATTCATATTCTTCTTTCCTAAAATGCCTCTCACATACATACAGGTTTCCGCTATTGATTTGTCGATGCAAACTTTCGTCCACAGAGCAGTCCTTCGTGATAACACTTATCCAAGCTTCGCGGGTTTTCTTCGATAATTCATCTGTTCCTGCAGGAATTTAAAAAATTCCTACTCCAACGTGCTTTCGACTTGTCGCGCAACCAAATATGGAGCAATTCGCTCCTGGCATCGCGAAAAAATCGCCTAAATACTATGATTTTGTGTTCCCCTTTAGCTTAATCTATATGATTTTACTATGTAAACACCTCGTAGAATGGCAAGGAGAATTGACAATTTTGTAGAAGGAATGTTCGTCGCCAGATTGAAAACTGCTACTATATTAAATGCTGTAATTTGTTTGCTTGCTGCATATTACATATTTAACGCAGAATACCCAAAGGGTGTAACTGGACACAGCAAGAACATTCTTATTTTTAGAATATTTGCTTATTCCCTGCAGTGGAAAGAAGAGATTAATCTTACCAATGGCAGTTGAACACTTCATTTTGTCCATGAAGTAGAACATTGAATTCATGCATGTGCAAGGGTAATCACATAAAATATGAAAGATCTCTGACTGCATGTACATAAATATTTATTCTCAATAGTTTTGGCAATCATTTAATAGCCTTCGACAAGTATATAAAAATATTTCCTACGGAAATATGGTTTTTTTATGTCAAGCCTGAATTATAGTGATAAGATAAAAGTAGGAAATAGTTAGATTGGATTGTGGCAGATTAGGGTGGGACTTGGCAGATTAGGGTGGGACTTGGCGGAGAAGGAAATTCCGGTGCTTTTACCTACATAAGAAACATAAAGTCAAGGCCAAATTTTAGCTACTAAAAGCAAAGCAAAGTTATTCACTCCTCAATTCAACCTTTCTCGTGATCGAGTGAAGACATACAAATTTTCTTCCCACCTCCTCCCACTGGCCTGCCGCTTTGTATTTTAGTTTGTTGTTTTTTCTTGTACATATTATTATACCTTTTTTGCCTAATTGGCATGTAGTCCTGCCACCTTTACTGGCAATGAACATTAACAGACTCAAGTTATTAACTCAAATGATCAATTTTAATGATTTTATGATATTTCTAATTAAATGACGAGATTTTAAATAAAGCGGCTGAGAATCAATTTCACAGCCAAATTATCCCAAGTTGAGTGTTTTGTTTTGCCAGTAAACTGAGCTCGTTAAATGCAACACCTCGTGAAAAGCAGGAAGCCAAAGACATAAATACAAATAAATATTGTAGAAATATTTACAGTCCGAGGGCTTTTGTGCGATGTTAAATCCCACAAGTTATATTGCATGTATATATGTATAGTGATTTTGTATTTTAATCTTAATATTTATTGTTTTTCAAGCACGTTTTGAATGGTAAATTATTGCAATTTTGGTCATTTTAACCAATTTAAATCTATCTAACAGCCCATTAATGTTGCTCACTAGTTTTAGCATCATTAGACATAAAAATGTGTTTGGTTGAGTAAAGCACAATAGTGCCAAAGCTGCTGAAGGAACACCCACGCTTTTGTTCATGTTCCCTTTATTCTTGTACCAGTCTGATCCATCGTAGCATTGGAGCAGGTGTTTCATTGATGGGGCTGACGATGCACGCTTGTAACCAACCACTCATCAATGGCACAGAGTGCAACTCGATTTTTGCTTTGGAGGTAAAAATTGAAAAGTCCTTTAGATGTAGCATCTTCGATAACAAGTTCTGCTCCAGTTTTCATCTCCAATAGGTACCTTGTAGCAAACATGTCATTGTGCCAGTTTGTGGCACTACTTGGGTATATGTGCTTTGGCTTGCATGTTACTGTCACAGTTGAATCTGTCATTGTAAATTTGTCTCTCCCTTCTTGGTCAATTTCCTTCATATTATTTGCAATTAAAATTACACCTGGGCTTACAAATGGTGACTCATTCCGTTCGATGGGACGGTGAAATGGTCTTGAAACCCTTCAGATGTACCACACCGTACATATGCCTTGTCATCTATAGCTCTTCTAATAACAAATCCACTGTTGTTTAATGCATTGCCAAATGCCAAACGTGTGTAATTTTTAATGTGGGCCCTATTGTAGTGCACATTTATGTGCACCTGTTTCATGTTTTTCTGTGCTCTCACAAAGGACCACAGATTTTGTCCATGGTGTTGCTCAGCTTGACGACTACGCTTGTTCTTGCATCGTCCCCATGACCTTACAGTCTCACTGCTTTTGATAAGCTTCTTTGAGTGTGCCTTCTGGTACCTGTTTGCTATCCTTAACATGTCCCTCTTGTGTAGTCTCTTTGCATGGTTCTCTACATATCCAGTACCTTCGTCACCCCACCTTCTGCGGTGGGCTTTTAACTGTTCTTCTAATACTTCGTATATTGCTCTTTCAGCCCCCCTGTCAATTCTGTATTTGCCCTTGTTTTTACCCTTTTGAGACCGAAGTGATAATTTTCAAGAAAAAAATTCCTCCTTGCTTTTCTTTTCTTCATTCCAACTGGCTTCTGCATGAGTTTTTGTAATCACTGCCTTTTTACATTTAAGTCATTCTCTAGGTCTTCTATTTCTTCATTGGCCAGGCACTTTCTTTTTCTTTCAAGCATGTTTTCATTCTTTTCAATGATGTTTTCTAGTCTACTAACAGCCTCTGCTACTTGACTTTCTGCTGACTGCATTGAACATTCCTCATTTAACTCTGCCTGTATCAAAAAATTATCCACTTCACCTTTTATGCCATTCACAATCACTGAGGTATACCCCATGACATTATGCAAGACAGTGTTTGAATAAATGGAAGCTAGTATAAACTGCACAATGGCTCTGTCTCTTGAGGATGACATCAGCTTCAGCAAAATTGGAATATTTCCAGCAAGTACTGAAGCAAATGCTGGATGTTCTCTTTTTTCTGACTGAAAAAATTCCAAGTGCTGTGCTGGTTTCTCAAGAATGCAGACAAACCTAAAGCAGGCAAATAGTCTGATTTACACACTGTAGATACCAAAAGTCATAGAATGAATACAGCTTTCAGTATTTAATAGTGACTTGCCATGGGGTAAAATGCAAACAGAGTAGGACGAGTGGTCTTTAAATGACAAAAGTCACATAACCATTGGCATATTTAGTTTAATAGGCAAGACATTTAAAATTAAAGGTTAAAATTGCTTACCTTTTTCCTTGATTGTGAACTATTACTACAGGTATCCCCTTCTTGGACAGAATTAGGTTTCTGAATTGTACCCTTGCACTCTTTTGGTTTGTAGAGTTGGCACTGGAAGGAACTTTTGCCGCATATTCTTCATATGCAATGTCAAATGGCAGAATTTTGTGAATGGACAATTGGTCCAAAAGGCTTGACAGTACTGTGAGTTTTTTTATGGATGACTCTGAAATCGAACTCTCTATACTCTGTTGAATCTTGTTTTGACATTCAGCTGCTGTTACACTGTTATGTGATACTTGAAAGTGATTCAGAAACATATCTATCTCAATTTTGATCGATCATATAAAATCGCCATCTTGAATTTTCCCTGACTTGTACCCAGTCCAGTCCTTGTAGGAAAACATCCTCGTTCCCTTGGAAACCGTGGGAATGATGGGAAGCAAAAAACTAAAAGGTTGCAAAAATTATGGAAAACATTGATGAGTATAGCGAATTTAAAACATTTCTTTCCAAAGTATTAATGTTACATGAAAAGTGTGGAAATGTTTTCTCCAATGGAATAATGCAAATTGAGCACTTACAAGACAAAGAAGACAACATCGGACTGCTCAGTCTCACCGTATTCGAATGGCATCGACTTCAGCGCGAAATTGCTACTTGGAAGTCTAAATTATTGACCAAAGCCGTTAAGCCTGGATATAAAACTTCTTCAGCATCTGAGATTATATCCCTACCGAAAGCCTTCAGAGATAGTTTTCATACACAGGATGGAAAGGGACATATTGTCATGTCTGTGGAACGATCGAAACGGAAGTTTAAAAATTTATGGTATGAATGCCCGATAAATCCTCAAGTGTTTTCGAACTCCATGATTTTGAAAATGGCCCAGGAGAGACTGCAATATGAGAAATCGTTGTGTGCTTGTGAAATGTGGTGCCGAGATCAACGCAAAAAGAGAACTTGCGTTATGTTAGCAGCAGCACAGAAAACAGTGATTTCCACATGGACTGACTATTACAAAAGTCAAAGTGTTGTTGGTCTCTGTGAAATTGCAGATAAGCAATATCCTGCAGTGGTGGATTTCATGGAAACCAGAAAGGACAAGTCGTGCATCCCTCCGAAAGCCTTTTATGAAATGTTAGGTCTGTATGTTGCAATGTTGGAAGAAGCTAGTGCATTCTCAGACCACATTCACTTGGAAAGTGCAGCCAGTATGCAACAGATTGTCTCACCTGTGGTGCAGAAACACCGAAAAGAGGTGCAAATCTTTATTTGTAAAGCATTAATAATTGATGATTAACCCATTGAGCAGCAATGTGCCCCACTGCATCCTACTTATTTTTTTTACTTGTCTAACGCCAAATGATTTTACTCTTCAATGGGGAAGCTCTGCAGCTTAATGGTTAATCAAAAAATCTAACAATGTCTCTAGTCAACCCATTGAGCCACAGTGCGCCCTACTTATTTTTTTTACTTGTCTAACGCCAGACGATTTTACTCGTCAATGGGGAAGCTCTGCAACTTAATGGGTTAAACTTCAAAAGCAATATAAAATATTTTATCAACTGGTACTCTAAATAAAATGGTACACTAGGGAGACAGTATCAAAGAATATTTATACACTGCCTATAAAATTAATGTAATTCACACCTAAGGAAAATTTTAGAAAATCTTACAAAATTAAACTTTTTCTTTTATTAATACAGGTTACAACTCAGAGTATAATTTTTTTAAAGATGAAGCCTTGCCAGCACTCCAAAAAATGGTCAAGGAAAAGGTTGCAGAAGCCAAAACAATTCTGAAGGACCGAGAGAAATATGGGTATTGTGTAGAATACAAAAAGGCCAAAAGAAAGGCACAGAAGAGAAAGATGAAAGCAAAGAGAGCAAAGGCAGTAACTGGAGAGTCATCCAAGGAAAGTGGAAGTCCAATTGGTGATGTGCAGGAGACAGAGGTTGCTGTGGTTCAGTTAATAGATGTCAAAGAGGATTATTACAGCAGTATCAGTGAAGCAGAATCATGCAGCAACTGATGAAGCATGTTGAATATATATAGATACTCCATAGATTATAATATATTTAAATGTTACGTTCAATCAAACAGTTCTACGTTTCAAAGGCATTATTATTAATAATATATACAATAATATTAACAGTATTTTAACTCATTAACACGCAAGCTGTTACAATGTTTCTACCCCCAAAGTCGACAAAAAAATGGCAAATTTTAGTTCCTGCCAACTATGTTTACATGAATGGTTCTAGCTCAAGTGCAATGTAATGGTAAAACATGAAATTTGGCAAGACAATAAGTAATGAATAAGCTTTCATTTCTATAAATGAGCACAACTAGATCCATAACAGACAAGATAAATGAGTGAAAACTTCATACATAGCTAATTTCTTAAAAATGTTTCCTTCGTAATTAAGACATTGAATATTTAAAGGCTTTAAATACTATAAACTTTAACATTTCTATCATTTCCTTTATGATTTTTGTTTTACAAAATACTTGAAAAGCCAGGATTTAAATTCTTATAACGAATGGGGGGTTGTATTACTGAAAAAATGAGATTTTTTCATGAATATTTTTAGTTGCCTTCATGCAAAAAAATATGTAATGTATAAAGTATAATTTGTGTCTCCATAACAATATTTGAAAACAAAATGCACCTATAAATACATGCCTTGACGGGTTGGTTTTTGTCTTAATTTTATAGAAATTTACCTGTGATTTTTATACTTGTTAAACTTAAATGAAACAAGCAGAGTTTGGGGGAGAAATATGAAATTTACTATGATAGATGATGACAGAGCTGTCATGTCTGCATTGACATGGCTTCCTTGTTTGGCAAACTGCCTGGCAAAGAGCCAGTCTTTTATTAAAAAACACTACATACAGCATAATATAAAACATGCAAAATTGAATGGTTTTGTCCAATAGTAAGACTAACTTTATTGATGCCATTCCATAAAACATGCACGCTCTCTACAAAGATTTACATTACATTGCTCGCACTTATATATACTTTCAAACGTTCTTCCCGACACACGCTTCCTTCCCGCTTTCGAACACATCCCACATGCTCGTTTGCGCTCTGAAGACTTCACTAAGCTATGGCCCTTGACATTTCTACACACTGGAACATCTTTTTTACGGCCACTCGGAGCACTAGAAATCTTTTTGTAGCCGTTATAGGTCGAAATAAGTTGTCTTGCCAAAACAAGACGGAAATCTAAATGTTTTAGGTGACGACGTCGATCAGTCTGGAAGTTTTGTAAAATGAAACCAAGCCAAATATTTCCACCACTTTTTAGATTGAGCTCTTACAGGGTAGTAGCTCCTATACTGGTCGTTTACGTCCACACCGTTCATATACTTATTATACAATGATATGACGGCGGGTTTTTCTCGCACTTCCTCGGGAACGACTTTCCTTTTTCCAGTACGTTCATCTAAATGGCCGCAAACTTCGGGCTGTGGATCAATAAAATCGTGACTAAACGTTTATCTTGCCATGCCAAACAAACTAAATTTTCATTTTGTCGAGTTCTCATTTCTCCACGCTTAAGTTTTGTTTTTTTCAAATCAACAGGAAAATATTTCCTGTTGTGGCACAAGGTCGAGCATGCGTAAGTTTTTTTGCAAGCAAATGTTCGAGTAAAGGAATCAAGGAAAAATAGTTATCGAAATAGAAATGACGGTAAGTATTATAGTAGGGTTTTCCCAGGAAATCAACAACTTTAAAACCGAGACCTTGCGCCCGTTCTGCATCATTTTCATCGGCATTTTGTTGTTTACCTAAGTAAATTTGAAAACGCGGCACAAAATAAGTTTCAGAATCAGCTAACATCCAAACTTTAATACCAAATTTTTTCGGTTTTTTAGGCATATATTGCTTGAAAGATAAACGAGCATTAAATTTAATCAAAGCTTCATCAATCGAAATATTTTTTCCAGGCACATAAACATCTTGAAAAGCATTTTCGAGCTTTGAAATAAGGGGCCGAATTTTTGTAAGTTTATCGGTTGGGTTTTCTTGCCAACGTGTACATTGTACTTGCACACATGTACATTGTGCAATAATTGGCCAATAAGAAGCTCCTCCTCTTCATCGTCGTCCGAATTGCCCGCTATGTCTCTCCATGAAACCGTCGATGTTCCCGCTTGCTATAGGCAGAGTTTATTCAACCGTTTCGCCGACTATAAACCCCTCAAAATCGCTTTCGTCCTCACTACTGTCGAACATACAAAGTGCTTCAGCCATATTTAAAAAAAAATCGCAGAAAGGTGTTTTAAAACGCTTGTAACTTGAACAATATTAACTGTACAAGGTTGCACGAGGTCTCTTTTGAAAGAGCGGATTCGGGTGTTTTTATAGGTGCCCATTGCTAAGCAACGCGAAATGCATATCTCTTATTATTGGCCAATGAATATGGCGAGGCGTTTAGGGGCATACAGGCGCATTGTCTGTTACCCCATTGCCTATTCCAGGGCGCATACGGGCGCATTGCGCGTTAATGAGTTAATATATATGCATTAATAGTGATATTTTATGGTTTGATTTTGTCTATTGACTATTAACTTTGAAAAAGATACAAAGGAACAAAAAGAATATGTAATTTCTATAAAGATTGTTCTTAAAGTTTTTCATGTTATATATTATAAATCTAACTTTTGATGTTGTGGAGAATAAATACTTGTTGGTTGTTTATATGCGTAATTTTATTTTTTGTAAAATAAATCATGTAATGGCTGCAGGTATGCTGTATACTGTATTTAATACCACAGAATAAACAAATTTACTCCATGGCATTAATTATTAATATGCAATATAAAATCAAGGCAGATTATTCACGCTCTCAGACCACTGACTCAGACTCAGCAGTTGTCATACAACCTCCGGTATGTACTTCATGTCTTGCAGCTATAATGATTGATGAATCTATGTGTGGGGTGGGCATAGCCCTAGGACCCTTATTACATGAAGTATATACCCTACCTCCTCGGCAGGCCATACAGCCCCCTATGCCCATTCGCAGATTTCGTCGCCTTCATTTTTAAAACTCCTGTGCTTCAGCAAATTTGGAAGCCTTTGCATATAAATGTAAATAATGGGTGATTATCAGGATTGTTAAGGCATTCTAAGTGTTCTTCATATTTTATATCCAGAAGTTCCAAATTTTTGGAGTTTACTCTCACAGGATGGATGCTTGCACAAATTTTTTTTTTCAAGTTTTCTTCTCGCACATTTTTTTATAAGGTTAAAGGCTTGCACAAATTTTTTTTTTATTTCTGCAACCACCCCCTCAAATATCTAATGGTCTGTCCCTTACACAATTTTTGTGGCTTTGGGTCTTACCGGTCGATGTGACCACCAAGTGCTAGCATGTACAAGTTTGTGTGTTCTTCGAATCCGTCAAAAATCTCAATAGCAGAGTTTCCCATCAATGCACTGACTGCTGGAAATGAACTGGCAAGGATGAACTCTTTGCATGTTCCTTTTGTGAGTGCGAACGTTGTCAACCATTCATCTATCTTCTGCGGTGCAATATCTTTCCACAGGATTGAGCAATCTTTAGCTTCTTTTATAATAGTTTCAATTGAAACAACTTGTCATGTTGCCATTCTTTCTATTAACGGAATTGAATTTGACTTTCAGGCTAAAATCGACTAGAGTCTAATGCAATGCTCTAATGGTCTATGACCACTTTAACTCTTTCTCGCCCTACTGGTTTCGCATTACATTACGACCCAATTTTTCTAATGTAAATATCTCTGCGAGAATTTACCCCCCTTTCAAATAAAAGCCACCATT